TGCTCCCATAGAGAAGGACGGGAGCTGCGTACCAATCACACGTAGCACCTGTCCTTCCTGGGAGCTGAGCGATACGGCCGTGCACGCGGCACTGAGCTTTAAGTGCCGGCCTTTTCTAGTGTGACTGAAGGCTAAAGATATACTTCCAGTAAATATAAAAAGGTATCACGTAAATGTACTCAGAGGCTCAGGCTACCTACATGTTGCCACTCATGTTGAAGCCAATATTGATTCCACACATGAAGCCTCTTCAGCCGTGCCCAAGCCACACTGAAATTCCATGTTACTAGTTCTTTGAATCTTAGAGTTACACAAGCTCAGAAGAAAGAAGGTGCTTATCAGGTCCGTTTATATACAGTGATCTGTATATAGCAAGCTGCATTGCAGATATTCACCTGCTTCTGTTGCGAGGATGGTAAAACAGGCCACTCCAGTAACTACTCCTAAATTAAGGTGTCTACGTACTTTAATCTCTTGTTATAGGGGAAATGTTGCATTCAGTGTGTGTGTGTGTGTGTGTGGTATATATATATATATATATACGCACGCCAGATTATTATGACCACCTGACGTTTGTAGGCAAATTGGCTATATTAGCTATAATTTCGGGCTGAAGTTGCTAGAGGGCCAGACCATATCATAAGCGCCATATATAGAACAGCACCAGGGATCTGCAACAATAAGAAAGTAGCATTTGAATTGTTTGGAAGTTTTATAAAATCACAGCCAACTGCAGATGGACTTGGGAAGTACATTTTTTTAATTTAATTTTTTTTTTAACTGTCGGCTGCCAACATTTGAAACATATTTGTTTGTATATACGCAGGATAAAAGCAGCCTTCGGGCTTGTACACACTAGATCAGGGCTCATAATTTCCACTCGCCTGCTCACATTTGGCGAGTAAAAAATAAGGTGAGGGCCAGTGGAAATTTGGGTCTCCAAGTACCTGTCCGTGAGCCGGTACTATATGACCCGCAGCCAGCTGACATGTCAGGCACACGGTCGCAGACCGCGTACCTGACTTGCAGGAGCAGCTCCACGGTCTGCATCTGTGTCGGATGCAGACCGCAGAGCCGCTCCTGTCAGCTCTGGCTTCCTTGGGCCGGATCTCTGACAGTTCTGAGCTCCAGCCAAAAGAAAGGATGTATGCGAGCAGGATCCCTGGTTATCTGGGGGTGATAGTGAGGTCTGCTGCAGATATTTCAGTACAGCGCTGCATGACGGAATAAACGTCAGTCAAAGTACCGCAGCGCTGAATACTGAAAAATGGCCTGGCCAGGAAGGGGGTCTAAACACCTGGTCTTCAAGTGGTTAAAATCTTGTACGACCCGCCCATCTTGGACAGGCAGATCATACTTGCGATCATCGCAAGCCCTCCCCGCTGAGGGGAGGGCTTCCGATGATTGCAGTGCTGAGCGGGCAGTGAGCGCTTGCGCACACCGGCCCGTGCGGCATACGTCTTCCGACCACGCCACCAACCCGCCAAAAATCGTATGATTTTTGGCAGCTTTTCCAGCGTGCTTGGAAGAAGAAAGTCTTCCTGTACGACCTTACAGTAGAAGCGATCACACGCTGCCCGTACACCTACCGTTTATCGTACGATGGCGAGATCACCCACAACTATCGTACGATAATCAGAAGGTCTATGGACACCTTTAATGTATATGTATATTAGACCTCATTCACACCTACAGTATATTTCAGGTGTGATTAGAGATTCCTGTGTCAGAAACTTGTGTTTTCCTGCAGCAGGAATTCCTAATCTGCCGTTTACAAGCGGCAACTATCATAAGATAAGAATTATCATAAGATTATTTAAGAGGGTGTGTTTAGGGGCGGAGTTAAGGCCGGGTAAGGGTTAGGTGGGGCAACTGGTGGCTAGTGACTCTTAAGGCCTCGCTAGTAGCTCAGGACTTGAATTTTTGAGCCCTGCACTAGATTATATCTTATCAGAACTGTTTTTCTCTCAATGGGATAGCGAAAGCAATGTGATATTTCTTAGGTGGTGAAATGCAGGTCAGAAGCAAGCTAAAAGTACCAAAAAGCACAATACATTTGCAAGCTTATTGCGCCTGAAAGCACATTGCATTTACCCATCTACAAGACATTAAACTGCCAGTGTATCTTCTGCTGTAGAGATTGGTCTCTAATTCCATTGTGTCACTACGTCACACCAATATGTATGATGAGCAGGAACTATTGCTTCTCTAAGGTTATTGTGGCTGTCCTGCCTCCTTGGTTAACACACACCTTTTAGGCCTCATTCACACAGCGAGTTGGGCCGTACGGATCTGTGCGGCATGCACGGTTGTATTGGGCCATTCCCGGGAAGGCAAAGTGCTGCGTGTGATTGTACGCAGAAGCCTGTTCTTCCCTATCGGTGGATGCGGCCGTATGCTGTCATACGCTCACCCGAGCTGCATATCCGTGCTCGGACGCACACAGGATCTATCCTGTCTGCGTCCAAGTACGGACACCCGAATGGATGTGTGCATACAACAGCTTACTTCTGTATCCTCCCATAGGGAGGAACCGGCAGCTGCGTACAATCACACGCAGCACCTTTCCTTCCCAGGAATGGCCGATACGGCCGTGGACGCCGCATGGATCTGTATGGCCCCTCTACACTGTGTGAATGAGGCCAAAGACTTCAGAGCAGCAAACTGCTAAAACGTTGACTTTTATAGAGGTGGTCAGACTTTCTGATCATCAATTGGTGAAGGGAATTCGATTAGCAGCACCTGGCTGCTACTTAGCCTCTTAATTCTTGTGTAGGCGGTAAGGGTGTACTTAGTTTTTTCACTCATAGCTTCCCCATTTCAGCTTTGTTTGTAAAAGAAATGACGCAGTGTAATATGTCATATGTTGTTTTATCTGAGGTTGTATCTACCTAATTCTCAGACCTGCTAAGGACCCGATGGTTTTTATTATGTCTTGATACTTAAAGAAGTCACAGAGGGTGTACTTTCTTTTTTACACGACCGTAACTATGTGAGTGCACATTTCTTTGTAGGTGTGCTTATTTGGATGTTATACAAGCCAGCAATGTATAGTCTGCGTCATGGCAAAGGGTCAGAACAAGTGCACGGCTTGAGCCTGTTTACATTTCAATCTCTGGCTTCTGTGCTGTGATAAGATGTTATTGGGGTGGCCGCACAGCCCCCCAATCACTTAATAATGGCTACCTGCTCTAATGATATCACGGACTGTTTACTGAATTCATTCCTGACTTCTGTGCGACAATACACTACTATCGTTTTATATTTAGTGGAATGTTTGAAGGTTCTGTTGTGTTTTGTGTGTGCTAATAATTAAAGAGTCTGTCAGGTTTTTAAGATGTAAAAGCTGCACTTCCCTGCAATAGAAGGCAGAGTATATTTAACGCCCCAGCAGTCCATTTCTCCTACCTCTGTTTCTGCGCTGCAGCCTGGGAAAGCCTCTTTGGCATCCTACATTTCTGGGAGTGTTGTGTGCATTGCCTTGCACTGTCGTTCTTTCCTCCAACCCCTACATCACTGTACTGTGAGTTCTGCAGTGACATAGAGGTTAGAGGAAGGAACCAGCGCACAGCATAGGACACATCACCTGACTCTCCCAAGAGTGTTAAATGCCTAAAGGGCCTTCAGGTGATTGGATACTGGCAATACTGTATATATATATAATGTATATGTATGACAGCCCTGTGTCTCCCCCCCCCTTTCCAGCCTGCCTTATTTTTTTGCTAGTGTGTTAGACAGTGCTTAGGGATGAGCTCTGGTTCACTCACCTTGGCATTATGTAGTGGGTGCAGTTGCTGCAGGGTGCTATACAGGTCCAGGGCTCTGGTCCATTTTGGGGAAGTCTTGTCCCTGAAGACACCCTTTGGTTGCCCACCGGAGGGCAAAGATTTGATAGGGCATGTCCCCTTTAAATGATTACTCTGCAGCAGTATGGTTGAGTGGTTTATTTGCAAAGATGGATCACTTTAACTCTGGAAGATATTCTTTTTTCCCCCCCTAACATCTTCCCGGACAGCATCTTGAGATATGGAGGCTCCTCCCAATCCCACAGGAAACACGTCACCAATAACCTTTTAAAAGGCCCGCCTTCTGGCCAGCTCCTCAGTCTTTTGTGTTTCCTCAGGCAACCTGAGGATGCGCGTCACAGGAACACTTGGGAAGAGCCTCCATATGGCAAATAGCCAGGGCGGGTTGTTAGAAGGTGTACTGATGAAATCCTACAGTACAAATGAAGGGACTCATCTACCAGATTCCAGGATACTTAACTATTTGACATTTTTGGGACAAGGGGAATTGGGCTAGGAAAAAGAACCCTTATGAAAGTAGATGTGATAAGTATTAGGAAAGATTTTCTGTGCTGAAGGCGTTTAGCCTATGAGGCAGTTAGGAGAGAAGAAGGGGACCGCCGCTCCTCTCTAAATTTGGTGCCCTGGCATACCTATCCAGACCTACCATCCCAAGTACAGGTATTCCACCTTGCTTCTTGGTCACTGGCTTTAATGTATTTCCAATAGGGTCATAAACAGAAATTTAGACTCTCCTGCACTCTGTTTAAAACAAAACCAAAAATGATCTGGAGTTTGGCTTATAGAATATGGATAATAATACAATATGGAAGAGCAAGCATATAAAAGAGTGGAATTCTTATTCAAAATGACTTTGATGCAACTGCAATAGCATCCTAAGACATGTGCTATAGTGAAATACACATTACTTTGTCTTTAAACTGCAAAAAACTTTACATAGAACCCTGAGTGAACGGCAACGCACCCCTGGTATATCAATGAGAAAAAGTTCAATATTTCAATGGGGTTTTTTAGGTGCTCTGTGACCAAAGCCAAAATCGTATGAAACCATTCATTATCCAGACAATGAACTTCTCATTTATCTGCTTTGTCTGTAAGTGTTTGGTACTCTTCAATCGCTGCTAATATGTACTAATCAAGTCATTGTACCTTTTATGCAAATAAAACTCTTGTACTTTGTGTGTTTTTTCAGGCTTCACTGAGACAAGATGGATTTGGCCAATCATGGACTTATACTTCTGCAACAACTAAATGCCCAGAGAGAATTTGGATTTCTCTGTGACTGCACAGTAGCCATTGGTGATGTTTACTTTAAAGCACACAAGTCGGTCCTTGCATCGTTTTCCAACTACTTTAAGATGCTCTTTGTTCACCAGACAAGGTAATATGTCTGATATCCATTACATACAGTACTACCTTTCTGTGATTTCAAATCTGTTGACTTGGTCTTAAAATAGCAAGTTTTTAAGTGTTCAGAAATTAAACTGTTCACAAATGACTGACCAGCTTAAGTGAGAGAAAATCTCTTTACAGGGCCCTGCAAAGCAGTAAAAAACACAGAAGTTCTAATCCTTCTATACTGTTCAAAACTTTAAAAATAACAATTTTGGTTAGACTTGAGAGTTAGGGTTCACTTCAGCAGAGTGCAAATCTTCTAAAGTACTGTGCTTAGATGCTGGGTGCACTACATCAGCTCTAGACTACTCTTGTGTAGGACAGCATTGTTTAGGAATATTATTTCATTAGTTGCACATGGTAATGGAGACTTTCGGCCACAAGATAAGTGTGAATTGCAAGGGGTTTCCTAGATTCTAAGTGTGAGTGAAGTTAAGGATTCATTTTAGGAGATATGTTTTAGAGTTCAGGTGTTAGAAGGTGTAATTGTTCTGGGGTCAGGACATCTTAAGGAACATGTTTTCTTTGTAACTCTGTTTTGTGCCCCTGCACTGTGTACTGTAAAGGCAAATGAGAACCTGGTAAGTTCCTTAGTGCCATCTAACCAGGAGCTACAGAAAATGTGCTTCCAGCATTAAAAGGTGTCTGCTAGGAGGTCAATCTTTGTAGAGCCTTATTAATACCATCTTGTCCGTTCTGTTCTGAAAGCTTTAACCAGTCCATAGGGAATAATTTGTCCCTGTTTGTAATACCTCCAGAACAGAAGGTGGTGATAATCTAAAATATAATTTGCTAAAATTCTTACAATTACCTTGGGGGAGTAAGCAAAGCTGGGGTTTAAGATGTTTTGTTGTGTAAATTATAAACCTTTGTTCACACTAGTTGTTGTGCTGGAAGCACATTTTTTTACAGAGGATTTGGACATTGGCAAGCACAAAAAAAAGTGACCAGCCTGTTATAATCCCTCTCCACTCCCAGCATGCCTCAGTTTTTTTTGCTAGTGTCCTAGGATATATGTAATCTCTACTGCATAATGTTTAAATGTAATTATTTATTGTTTTCAATCAAGACTTATTCACATGCTGCTTGAGCTGGTCTCTTTCTGCAGCTATCCAGATTGACACATCCTCGACAATAGCTTTGGAGGCCTTACCTGGACCCCGCTGGACTGGATGATTGTGCGTTCTGCCTGGAACTTGATCTGGGGGCACTGGGCTCTGCTTGTGGCGCTTTCCAGACCTGTGTGTTCATACTTCTTTGACTAGCTGTATGCACCAGGGGCTACTTTGTTTATTACAACCATTGGGTGCCACTAATAAACACAGAGGAATTGAGCGCTGCATAACTGTCTGGAGTGTCATGCATCCACGCTCTGTTTCTGTACCTTACCGCCATTGCTCCTTATTGCAAGGGACATGCAGTTTCACCTTGGTTAGTCCTTTCAGCCACCTACAGTGACTTGGTTACATTTTTCTCCATTTTAACCTTTCCTACTCCCAGCAGTTAGTTTGCAATTGCTCAAGGTTTTTACCTTTTTTTTATTGGAGCTAAAATGTTCTAATTTGCTGGCTTTGTGTCCGATCACAAACGCATGGTGGACAGTCCTGCTGCATCAAGTCTTTCTGGCTCTTGTCATGCTCTGCTAACAGTTCTGGGGCAGCCTGCAGTGTTCCCTGCCAAGGACCTGGCACTGACCGCGTGGAATGACTGAGTCCTTTATCCCTTGGAGTTCTCCTTTCCTCCGTCCAGTGTGGCCCCTTCCTCTGGTTTAAACTGGGAAGATTTTGCCACAGTTAGTTGAGAAGGATTTTGTCAAATTGTATTTAATTGCTGATTCTGACTGCAGAAGACACAGGCATACCTCTACCCCTTCCCCAGGGGAACCCTTATTTGTAGGGATGCACCGACACCATTTTTTCCAGACCGAGTACGAGTAACGATACTTTTCCCCAAATATTTGCTGATACCATTTATTAGGGTTGCACAGATACCAAGTACAGTACTCGGTACGAGTACATGTACCGATACTTTTGCGCTCCAAGACTAGACTAGGAAAAAATTATTTGTAAGGAGCACACGGAGCTCCTGGGATTTGTACATCTCTGTTTTAATGTATGATTTTGTTTTTATAAATAAAGGGATGCACGGATACCAGTTTTACGAGTACTGATACTTGTCCAAGTATTTTCAGATACAGGTACTGATACATTTTTGTTTATTGTCATGTGACAGTTTTTCTAAAACAATACAGACTAATGATTTCAGGACAGTGGTGGAGCACCAGAGCCAGGTCCCAGCGGCAGCCCTGGTAGTTCTCATTAAAAAATGCCAAGTATCGACACTGGTACTCGAAAAGTATCTGTGCATCCCTACTAATTATCAATACTTTTTTTTGTGTCATGGCAGTTTTTCTAAAACAATACATATTAATGATTTTAGGATAGTGGAGGAGCGCCAGGGCCCGGTTGCAGCTGCGACCCTGGTAGTTCTGCCACTGACTTCAAGCTGTAGAGGGACTACAAATCCCAGTGATACATTTATACAGCAATGCAGAGTACCACTCGCTATAGAGGACAGCAAATTCTGGCAATACATTATATAGTAATGCAGAATAATATGAAGCTACATACTCTGTGTTGCTGCAGGGTGTCAGCCTGATGTCTCCAGTGTCTCAAGAGGGTTGCACGGGCTTTTGGGAGAACCCTTTGGTTGAAATGTTGGGCACCAAAACAAGCATTTTAAAAAGCGTTTGCTATGCATGCCTTTAATGATTAAGGCTGTTACTGGAGGTAAAAGTACTCGTGTAACCCAAAAAAAGACGCTTGTGCCTCATGCTGAGAAGATTCATCCCCCCACTGAAGCCTGTGACACACTGCACGTGAAGCAGCGTGGAGTGGTGGTGCACGGACCTTCTCGTGCAGTTTGTTGTGTCATTTTCATTGTGGCGCATCAGCTTGCGAGGGCTCGCATAGTATAAACCTGCACGTCACAATGCAAAGTCCATTTGGTTGTGACGCGCGAGCCGATTGGCTGAAGATAGTCTTTCATCTGGCCGCACTCAGCTCACACACACTGCATGCTTTGCTCGACACGGCTTTGCATGCTCCGACAGTCGGCTCTACAAGTTTAAACAGAGTTCCGGCGGCAAAAGTCGCCGGGAGTCTGTTTAAACAGCCCCGATGCTGGCGACGTACACTGTATGTCGTCAGTCACGAAGGGGTTAAGGCAAAAAAGAGTTCCTTTTCATTACTCTGTCTCCAGTGTCTTAGGCAAACGTTAAGCCAGGAGCCCAATTTCACCAGAAACCCTGTGCCCCTAAATCCCCTAAACTGGCAGACAAATCCTCTTCAGCTTGAATAAGTGCACCCACTTTACAAAATGGGGGAAACATCTGCCTTTGCAGACATTGGGCAGTCAGCATCTCAGATGCTTGGGTATGGGAGGTGGTTTCAAGGGGCTACAAGCTAGAGTTCTGCTCCCAAACCCCTCCATGGCTGTCAACCTTCCATTGTCACTGGTCAGATAAGCATACCTCCATGCAGCCTTAGGAACTGGGGCAATAGCACCCTGCTCCAGAAAATCCTGTTTTAGGGATTTTACTCAAACCTTTTTACATTTCCAAAATCATAAGGAGGTTTTTCACCCCATCTTTTATCCCAAAGCACTGAACATCTTTATTTGGTCACAAAACATTTTTTTTTTTTTAATCCACCACGTCTGCCATAGACTTCCTTTATCAGGGAGACTTTCTGGAATCTAGACATTGGCACATACTTGCAAGTTACTATTTTTACAGAACATCGGTGATTCCCTTTGCTGTGGGGCCTTAGCTCTTCCAGTTCGTAGCCCTGCCATTCAGTCTGTTCCACACAACATGTTTTCACCAAGATTCTAGTCCCTGTGCTTGCCTTGTTAAGCACTCAGGGAAACCACATTGTGGGCTATGTGGATGACCTTCTGTTGAAGAACCGTTTCTGGTGTTACAGAATGACATGTTGGTATTAAAGCCTCCTTCCTTCCAAAGGTGGTTTCAGTCTTTCACCCTAACCAGAACATTGTGTTTGTCCCTCTGTCTGGCCCCAGTCTTCATTGTCTGGATGTCATCCCTGATGGTTACCATAAAGGGGAAGCAGCTTCTCGTTGCACCATTTCTCACTGACTCGGGTAAATCATCATTCAAGTTTATGGTCTTTTGGGATTGGGTTACATCCGTTCCTGTCAGGGCACACTCTACTAGATCTGTGAGTGCTTTTTGGGATCAATCAAAAGATTTGCAAGGCTGCTACCTGGTCCTTTAGTGATACATTGTCTGTGTTTTACCCGATGTTCAGGCTTCTTTGATGCCAGCTTTGGGTGCAATGTCCCTCCTGCGGTTCTTTGAGCTGCAGGTAGTCCCAAGTTTGTTTTATAGTTGAGTAAAGTTTGTGTTTTCTGTTGGACTGCTTTTAGATGTCCCAAATGTCTCTGAATCCTGTGTCCCCCCCGTCCCGTCCCC